TTAAATATATGAAAAAAATCGAATTTTTCAAAATTGTAGAGATACACCCTTAAACGATATAAATATTCAACCCTGTTAATAGCAAATAAACAGCGAACTCTTAAAATTCTCCCGACCGATTAACGTAACTAAAAAGCCAGTATTTTTTGCTATTACAAATTTTATTTATATATATGTATGTATGTATGTATGACGTATATGCAACACAATATTGCTTTCAATTACAAATACGATACTGACTGACTATAATGATATGTAGCTTTAAAGTTAAAAAAAAAATCTCTAATCAGCTACGCCGAATAAGCATGACGCTGCCAAAAAAACGCCTTACTTAATAATAATAATTTTAAACTTCTTGTCTACGGATATGTGCCGCCAATGCGGCTACAGGCACTTAATGCACTTAAAACTAAACGCTAACTAAATACATGCACGCGTGCATACATACATACATAGAATACGTCATACATGGAAAACTTCATAACTTTAACAATTACACAAATCATACAATTAAGTTAATTTTATGTTGATAAATGGGCTTTTTAAAAGCGCACAWGTAAACAGACTATTAAATACATAACTTATGTTTATGTGTGTTTTRTGTTCAATAATGCAATGACATAATGGCTATAAAATGGTATGCCAATTTTCGTATAATTCTCGTATAATTTTGCATAATGTGTAAAGTGATTGCGTTTAATGCTATATAAATTTGTTTATTGACATAATTAGTGGTAAAATGGTGTGAAACTTGCTTGAAAGGTCAGCAATACAATAATAACAAGCTTTATAAATTTCAATATAATTGATTTGAGACAGGATAAAAGTTATTTGAAAAGTGTAAAAAAAAAATCGAAAAATTAAAGTAGGTTTAATCCGTTGGAAAAGAAAGATAAAATATAATAATAAAAATTAAAGCAAAAATAATTTACGGCAGATCTAAGGTCGGGACGAGAGAGCTGAGCGGTGTATTTGATTTTGGTTAAAAATTTCGATTTACGACAAAACCACGGKCCCTATAGAACAAAGTTACATGAAAATGTTGTAGGCAATGATGAGATCTACTTTTTTCACCTAACCTCAAAATCCTAAAAATTCAAAACGGTTGGAATTTCTATTTTTAATTGACACTTAAACATTTTCTTTAATTAAAACAGTTTTCGAGTTTTTAT